CTTTTTGTGATTGTTTTCCTTTTGAAATAGTGTTAACACATTTTAAAATTATATATCTATCTATCTATATAGATAGATATAGCTATAGATATTCATTTTGAAAAATACAGAAATGACGAAGAAGGAAGTAAAAACCTCCCAGCTGACACTTAAAATTTGTCCCATCTGACTTTTTCTAAGCATCAATATATATTTAACAGTATATACATATTACTTAATGTTTTAAAATTCGTAATGGTATATGTATTTTCTTGTAGACATTCCTTTAAACGCTGTATGATGGGTGCAGGCTAACCTGCGGGGCTGTACTGTTTTATAGCAAAAAAAAAGATACTTGTGCTGAAATTCTAATTTTTATGTTTCAAAGGGGGGTATTGATTTATTAAATTAATTTTTAAACTTTACTCAAGGTGAAGTCTAAGGTGAAGTCTTATCTAAATCAATTCCAGGAGTTATGGGGCGTGGAATCTGCCAGATAAGCCACAGCATTCTATGTCATCAAGTCACAGAAACTGGTTATTTCTGCCTTGTCTTGCTTTGGGGGTGAAACAGATGTGGCTTCTTTCATTTCCCACATCGTTATCCAAAACGGACATACACCCTCCCATACTCCCTCTGCTTTCTCCTTCCCTGACCTATCCCCTGCCCGCCCTAGCCCCAATATTTCTCTCATGGATAACAAAACGTTTGTACAACTCTTGGCTGGGCGCGGTGGCTCATGCCTATAATCCCAGCACTTTGGGAGGCCGAGGCAGGTGGATCACGAGGTCAAGAGGTCAAGACCATCCTGGTCAGCATGGTGAAAACCTGTCTCTACTAAAAATACAAAAAAATTAGCTGGGCATGGTGGCGCGTGCCTGTAATCCCAGCTACTCAGGAGGCTGAGGCAGGAGAATTGCCTGAACCCAGGAGGTGGAGGTTGCGGTGAGCTGAGGTTGCGGTGAGCCGAGACCACGCCATTGCACTCCAGCCTGGGTAACAGGAGCGAAACTCTGTCTCAAAAAAAAAAAAAGAAAAAAAAAAGTTTGTACAACTCTTCCTTTTGAATGCATCTTCCACACTGGGTCAAATCTAAAATACACCTGCATATGCCACATCCACTAAAAATCATTACAACAGCTTCTATTTGAACATGAGCACGTCCCGTCAACCTGACCCCCGATACATGCTTTTCAGACATTATCATATCTTTCTAGCAATTGTAAGAGACAGATGCTGTTATTTTACTGTTAGAGATAAAGACTCTTACAGCTGAGGTATGTTAAATAAATTGCTCAAGGTCACACAGCTAGGAAAATTTAGGGCAGCTTGACTCTGGAACCTCTAACATTTGTTAACTCAAAAAATTTCATGACTACTGCCATCAACAGCAGTAGTTCCCAACATTTTCTTCAATCAAAAATGTTGCAGACTTCAGGCAACTGATGTTTAACTCTTAATATCTGTTGATCAAGAAGATGTACAATGGTCAAAAAAAAAAGCACTATGGCCTGGGCAAGGTGGCTCATGCCTATAATCCCAGCATTTTGGGAGGCCAAAGTGGGTGAATCACAAGGTCAGGAGTTCAAGACCAGCCTGGCCAATGTGGTGAAACCCTGTCTCTGCTAAAAGTACACAAGTTAGCTGGATGTGGTGGCACATGCTACTTGGGAGGCTGAGGCAGGAGAACAGCTTGAACCCAGAAGGTGGAGGTTGCAGTGAGCTGAGATCGTACCACTGCACTGCAGCCTGAGCAACAGAGGGAGACTCTCTGTCTCAAAAAAAAAAAAAAAGAAAAAGAAAAAAAAGATACTATGAACTTAGTAACCCTATAAATAAATTCTGGTGAATGACTTACAATATCGACCAGCTAAATACATTTGGAAGAAAACTCCTATTTCTTTTAGTGGTTCTGATGACCAAGTCTATAGACCATGCTTTGGGTGGGTATGAATGTGTGGGTGCTCTTTTATAAGAAATGTGGTCTTCCATATGTTTTGGAATCTACAGATTAGAAAACCCCTAGAATGGAAGCTAAAGTCCATACTCCTTAGCATTTGAAATGCCATTAAGTTTCCCAGTCCGGTCCCAACTTACTTTTCCAACTGTATTTTCTGTTACCCCATACCACATACCCTATGTCCTACCTCTAGTTGTGTTAGATAAGCATTCCCAAATTACTGGATACCATGCACACCATGCCTAGAGGGCCACAGCCATTTCTGCTGCAATTTTCTACCTGAAGAACTCAATGTCCTTTGAAACAGAGCTCAAACATCTCCAGCCCTATGGAACTATTCCTGACAACACCCGATCCCCTCAAGGCGAAATTAACACATCCTTCGTCCATATGATCACAGCCTTGTGATGGTAAGTCACACACTACAAATAAAAGGACATGCATCTCCGTATCTAGCTAGCTGACCACTCTTCTCATCCAAACTTCCCGAGGGCAGGGATGGTGCTTATTCCTCAGTGTCTTAGCCCCCATCGCCATTCCGGAAATATGGCAGATGCTGTTTGTAAAATTAATAAACGATTATCAGTGCCAAGCTGGCTAGTGATTTTGCCTGGGGAAGTCAGTTTGGAAAACAGCTCTGACCACTCAAGCAGCTTTCTTTAGCATGCTGTAATTGGTTGATCATCTGTAAGCCACAAAATTCACAATGACCCTCACAATGTCCTCCAAAAGGAGAAGACACATACGCTATGAACTGGAAAATCTGAGCTCAGGTCCTGGCTTTCCTACTGACCAGCTCTGTGACCTGGGGCAAGTCACATTCCCTCTCTGATCTATTTTTTCGCTGAATTGTGGCAGGGGTATGGGGATGCAAAAGGAGGCCTCCTCCCTGATGCAATTCTCTGACTCGCAAAGGTATGGACCACAGTTGGCCAACATTTTCTGATGAGGATCGGAGAGTCAATATTTCAAGCTTTCTTGGCGTATGGTCTCTTTCACCATGACCCAAATCAAATTCTCCCACTGTAGTGTGAAACCGCTACAGACATTAGACAAATTATTGGATATAGCTGTGTGCTAATAAAACTTTATTTACAAGAACAGGTGCCCAGAGGCCATCTTTGCCTCCTCCTGGTCTGGATGAATGCCTCCATGCTGCCATTCAGTTGACAGAGCTTGATATGAGGCTATATCTCATGGACTGTCCATCCCAAAGCTCTGTCCATTTCAAAGGGACTTAAAAGAAGGACAATAAAGATTACCATTCCCCAACCAGGAACTTGACAAGAAGGAAGAGACTGCATAGTCAGAGGTTTATAGCAAGAACAAAATTTAGTGGATGAGAACATGGACAAAGTTAACTGAAGAAAGATAATCACTGCCAACACCAGCAACCCCATCGGCAATGCCCCTGCCCTAGCCAGCACCTGATGAAATATAGTCATGAATTTAAGAAAAGACCGTGTCCTCAAAAGGAGGCTGGGACTGGCTTAGCCAGGAAAGCACAAAGTCCCTAAAGTCTACAAGGTTGTCGGGGAGAAGAGAGTGGCTTCCCAGGCAAGGCGCCCTAGTGAGATGACTGGAGGAGCTGCAGTCAATGACTGATGTGTCTCTGGTTGCACTAGAAAGGCCATCCTCCTCCTGAGACGCACAGAGTGGCAGGCTGTGTCAGCTTGGTGACACTTAACAGTCAATTCATCCCACTCGCTTGTTCTGATTCCCTGCTCACCAAGCAACCACCTGACTCCATATGGATCTTCCTTAGAGAACATGTGCACTGTGACTACTGCTGATACCTGCAGCCAGACAGCAGCAATTTCTCAAGGCAAATCAATAAAGTAGTTTCCAGGCCAGGCACGGTGGCTCACGCCTGTCATCCCAGCACTTTGGAAGGCTGAGGTGGGCGGATCACGAGGTCAGGAAATGGAGACCGTCCTGGTTAACGTGGTGAAACCCTGTCTCTACTAAAAATACAAAAAATTAGCCGGGCGTGGTGGCACACACCTGTAGTCCCAGCTACTTGGGAGGCTGAGGCAGGAGAATCATTTGAACCTGGGAGGTGGAGGTTGAAGTGAGCCAGGATCACTCCACTGCACTCCAGCCTGGGCGACAGAGCGAGACTCCGTCTCAAAAATAAATAAATAAATAAAGTAGCTTCCAGTTAGAATTTACATTCCCATGCAGCTTGACCAAGAGAGAGAATGTGCTGATCACGTGGGCCTGAGAATATGTTAGTGATGGTTTCCACCGCAAATTAACATTCTGGCATAACGATCACATGGGCCTGAGGATATGCTAGCATAATGGTCTCAACTCAGGCTCATCTGTGGCATAGCTCTCTGAATCAGCACAGGAAGCCCTGGACACAGACCAGAAGCCATCCTTAGTCTCCAGAAGCAGGAGCAGAGGGTGGCGATCGTATTCAGGTCCAGCCAGCCCTCACTGACAGCATGGCTTACACACCACTTCTGTTTCTACTCACTTTCAAATGATTTTCACAGAGCTGTTTAGAATGATGAAGCTAAAAAACTTGGTGCTTCAGGAAAAAGTTTCTGTTTGCCTGCCTATGCATGTATAGAATGCAAATTGGAATAAGATTTAATTAAGTGACGTAAAATCCAGAGCAAAGTAAGTACGTGCAACAGCCAAATACACACAGTACCAATTAGTGGCTGGTACAGCGGCCACATAACAAAGGTGCAATGAACAGTTTATGGTGTTTTTGTTTAAATCTCAATCACAGTGAAGGGTCAATGATGCCCAGAAAATGCTAGCTCTTTTGCCCTATTAAGCTGGAAACAAAGGCTCAGTATAGAAGTTAGAAAACTTTTAGCCACAAAAATATGATGGTGAATTATGCCTCTTAATAATATGCATGGGGCAAAATGAAAGAGCATACCAGAAGGTCAGTGCCTGTTTGCCTAAATCTTGCCAGGATATGCAAGGCCAAATGCCCCCAAACCAAGGAAGGAAAACAAAACTAACTGCAAAGCAGCAGGAATGCAAAGCACCTCCTTTCCGGTTAACTGTGACGTAATTCATTTTTCTCCTTCTGTTCCAGAACTTCTAATCTATAGGTCATGCTCATACCCACAGAAGAACCAAGGGAGTAAGGGAGCTGCCAGTTTCCAAAGGAAACGCTTACTTTCCATTTGCAAAGCGTTTCGCTGGGAATGCTGTGTTGAGTTACACCATCCAACTAGGAATTAAATATATTATGCTCTTTGGTAAATTATCAAAATGTCAACCAACAGCTACAGTGGAGACCATCTGAACTGCCGAGAGTTTTAACACTGTGATTTTAGCAAGAAAGAACATTTCCCCCTGCTGTTCAGTCTTTAGCTAGGTTCATCCGTGACTGTGATCTGCTCACAGATGTGTGCATCCAACGTATACATGAAGACAGCCACACACTTTTGTTCATAGGTTTTTACTGGAAATTTTCACATAGGATTCATTAAGCGAAGGTATGCAGCATGGTCAAATTGTCATTTCGTGAGTTTATCTACCCACCATAATTTGGGAGATGGCTTTGTTTCTCTGACTACCGGACTTCCTAGAGACTCCGTCTTTGTTTCCCATAACATTTGCACAGTGCCATGCACATGAGAAGCACTTACACATTTGGTGAAAGATTCATCTGCACAATATCAATGCAATTAAGAGAAATCTCACCTTTCAAGTGAATTTATGATAAAAGCAAAATAAGCGTAACAAATTTTCAAGCTCTGCAGTTCTCTAACTTCTATAGAAAACTATTCAGTATTTCTACCTCAAAAACTCTCCAGGGAAGGATAAACATACATATTTTTCTATACTCCCCCCAAAGCAGGAAAAAAGAGCAACTTTATTTGATTGGTGCAAATTGATAGATCATCTTTTGAGATTCATGTGAAACAGCTGAATGTTGCAAGCAGCGTGCTGTCAAAAACTGTCAAGTGAACAATTATTGATTGGTGCATTAAAATTAAAAACGCATGTAGGTTAATAAATGAAGATGGCTTTAAGAAAAAGCATGTAATCTGCAATGAGAAAAATCAGACAGTGAATGTGCCAATCAGGCCTGTAGGACTTAGAATGAAAGATTAAAGAGGAAACAAGAATAAGAAGATAAAAATTAACCACACAATGGTCTTTGTGACAGCCCATGACAGGCTGAGACAGGCTCTCCTGATGGTCACATCCCACCTATCCTTCCTGTTTCAGCCCCTGACATAAATACTGTGGATTTCCCGGGTTGGTCCTAAATCCAATGACCACTGTTGTAAGAGAGAGGAGAGGTCCTGGTACAGACACAGAGGAGAAGGCCATGTGAAAACAGAGGCAGAGACTGAAGTGATGCGGCCACAAGCCAAGGAAAGCCTGTAACCACCAGAGGATGACAGCGGCAAGGAAAGGTTCTCCCAACAGAGCTTTGGGAGGGAGTGTGACCCGGCTGACACTTGATTTCAGACGTCTGCCCTCCAGAACTTTGAGAGAACAAATTTCTGTTGTTTTAACCCACCAAGTTTCCGGTCATTTATTAGAACAACCTTGGAAAACTAGTAAGAGTTTCCCATCACAATTAGAGTAAAATCCAAGCTCTTGCAGCCTCTAGATCAGGCGTCCCCAAACTGCGGCCCCCTGAGGCCATTTATCCGGCCCCCCGCCGCACTTCAGGAAGGGGCACCTCTTTCACTGGTGGTCACTGAGAGGAGCACAGTATGTGGCGGCCCTCCAACGGTCTGAGGGACAGTGAACTGGCCCCCTGTGTAAAAAGTTTGGGGACGCCTGCTCTAGATCAACTCAAAGGCTCCCTGTGGCCTCAGAGGCTTCACCTGGGCATTCTCTTCCTTTGCAGTGCTCAGCCCTAGATTCTCATCTCACCCTCCACCACCCCCATCTTCCAGGGCTAGCTCCTATACCTGACTGCGGTCTCCATACAAAAGCCCGTTCCATAAGACTTTCCCTGACTCCACTGAGCAAAAGATTCCTCCCCTTTGCCCCTGCCATCCCTCTTTCTCCCAACATATCCTGCTCCATTTTGGAGGGTCTGCAAATAGAGTCTACTTACGCAATTTACTCGTGGTTGTCTCCACTAAGGGAACATTACCTCTCTGACGGCAGGGACTTAGACAACCTTGTCTGTTCTGTTACATCCTCAGTGTATAGAATCACGTCTGGTGCGGAAAAGACGTTCAATAAATACTTGGTTGTATAAAAATGAATAAATTATTTTTCTGTGCTTTCACTCAATTATAAAAGCCTGACTTGATTAGCACCATCAAGACATATGAGCTTAAAACATTCTCTCCATTGCAAGACCAGCGTGCTTCTATTATTTTTGAAAATACCCTTCTCCAATGCTCTTCTCTTAAAACTCAGTTGATCCAAACATGGCTTTTCTACTTTTATTAATTGGGTTGAACTAAAACATGGTCTAAAGGAGAGGCCTAAATCCTTTACCTGTCAGAGATGTGAGCCTGAGATGATTATCCTCGTTGAGCCTGTAGAAAAGAACGATAAAACGTGCTGTATCTATATCCTCGGGGCTGCCATGAGAACCGATTGAGGTAACCCATTCAACAAGATATTTCTTTAGATACTGTTCTGGCCAGATACTGTGCTGGCACAGTGACATATCTAGAACCCAGGCAAGAAACGTCTCTCCTTATCAAGCATATATCCAGGCACACTTTGCAAACTGTCAAGACTCATGCAGATGTAATGGAATCTGGGATTTGTGCTAGACACACCCAGAGGATAGCCAGCTCCCCCATTCCAAATTATTCCTGCTCTGCACACCTCTTAATACAAACACAAACCAGAAGACGGTTCCCTTAAGACAGCTATCAGTCTTCACTCACTCACTCACACATTTTTCCAAATGTTCCTCATTGGTCTCCTGCAGAGCAATTTCTAATACAGATCAAAATCAGGAGGTTACGGCACGCAGTCATCTCAAAATGTAGCTGCCACAAACCCTGAAACATTATGTTTTCATTATTTCAGAAGAGACAAATTACGTTTTAAATATATACCAAGTGGCTGGGCATGGTTGTTCATGCCTGTAATCCCAGCACTTTGGGAAGCTGAGGCAGGAGGATTGCCTGAGGCCAGGGAGCTTGAGACAAGACTAGACAACATAGTGAGACCACATCTCTATGAAAAATTTGAAAATTAGCCAGGTATGGTGGCACGTCCCTGTAGTCCTACGTATTCAGGAGGCTGGAGCAAGAGGACTGCCTGAGCCTTAGCATGTGACGCTGCAGTGAGCTGTGATCACGCCACTGCACGCCAGCCTGGCTGACACACGGAGACCCTGCCTCTTTAACAGAAATAAATCAATAGGTCCCAGGTATGTCTGCAATGTAGATTTAAAGCAACAGTTTACAAAATGGCCCTGTCATGGTTATTTTTAACTGAATAAAACAGGTTGCTTATGGCTTGTTTTCTGTCACTCAGCCTCAACACCCTCTTTCATTTGTTTTCCTCAGAAGATGTGCCTATCTCGAAATTCTAAGTAAGTGGTTCCTATGAACCTTTCGAGAAACAGATTTCTTCAAGGATCTAATGAAAAGCTACCAGCCTCTCCCAGAAAAACCCACATAGGCAGAATGTCATGCTGTATGTAATACAGTTCCTGGGGGAGCCTTGGGACATTCTGGAAAAGTTCACTGATCAGAAATGATAAATTCCCAACCACCGTATCGTAGTGGCCATAAAGGGGCACACACAGCGGCCCCACCTGATCACCGCAAAGATTCGTGCTTCTAGTCAGCCTACACGATCAGGCACTGACTCACAGCAATGTAACTTGCAAACTATGCAGCATTAACTGGCGTTGAGGAAATGCAGGAGATAACGAGTCCAAGCACGCACATTACACGTCTCCCGAACGGCACTGCAGCAGGGGGTGGCTGCAAGCCCGGCAACAGGAGATACATTCGTTAGTCATGACCTCCCAATGACAAAAAAGGGCCCAGAGTTCAGCAAACGGGGATTATTAGAAATTTTACAAGAAAATGGAATCTGAACCTTTTAATTTTACCAAAATGTGATTTTCTGCCTTAAATTCAAAATGCATTTACATGCTCCATGTCCTGTGAAGTTAGAAAGAAAAGATATATTTAAGTAAATAAAAGCCAAAGGAAGTGCTCACTAGTAATAGTCTTATTACCAAAAAAAAGGATCTCCTCCCACCCCCTGCTTTTTGTTCAATAAAATTGATTCCATACACTGAACCATCTCACTATTGCTCTTCTTGGCTACATGTGTAAGAGTGCAGAACCCACAGTAAATAACAATAATAAAAAAATCCAAAATAACAGGAAACATCTAAGATTATCCAGAGAAGATATGTCAGATTATAAAGTCTCTGAGTCATAATAGTAATCAAACCTGAGTCTATATTGGCTTTCCAAAATACTATTAATATTTCCTGAAATAAAAATTGAGGTGTAGTTACTCAGGTTCTCTAGTGAGTCAATGCATCTAATTTGCCAAAGCTGAAATATACTGTTGCTTTCCCCACACTGAGAATGCAGCGTCAGTAACAATACTAGTTTCCTACTCTGCTTCAAAAGATCTGTTATGTTTAAGAAGTTTAAACACACACACACTCTCTCTCTCTCTTACACACACACAGATGTATAAAATATTTTCTACCAAAGAAGGTATAAGGTGTTTTTACCCAACAACTCTGAATGTGTGTGATCATGCATAAAGTTGTCTTTAAGTCCTATTGGTATGCTACATTTAAAATATTTAAGACTGTGTTCCTATAAACATTTATGCAGACTTCTCAGAAATAAAAGAGAATTCTACTAAGGATTAAAAGTCATTGCCGTGATTTATAAACTATTTCAACTAAAAATTCTAAACTCTGAATTATTTATTTTTCAATGGGAGAGATCATTCCTTCCAGAGAAAGAATAACATACTACATTATCATTTTTCCTACTTTAAGTCTCCAGGTGTAACATCTCTCGGGACACTTTCATTTTAGAAAAAAATAATAATTTTTGTGTGGTCCCTTAAATAACAATCTATCCTTGTGCTGCAGAAATGAATTCAGCTACCCACCGTCGATAGGCCGTCATCAGGAACGACACAGTAACTATCCGCACTAGAAAGTTCGTGACCAACCGACTGCTTCAGAGGAAACCAATGGTCAGGGATGTCCTTCCCCCCGAGAAGGCAACAGTGCCTAAGACAGAAACTCAGGAAAAACTAGCCAAAATGTACAAGACCACACCGGATGTCATCCTTGTATTTGGATTCAGAACTCGTTTTGGTGGTGGCAAGATGACTGGCTTTGGCATGATTTATGATTCCCTGGATTATGCAAAGAAAAATGAACCCAAACATAGACTTGCAAGACATGGCCCGTATGAGAAGGAAAAGACCTCAAGAAAGCAACGAAAGGAACGCAAGAACAGAATAAAGAAAGTCAGGGGGACTGCAAAGGCCAAGGTTGGTGCTGGCAAAAAGTGAGCTGGAGATTGGATCACAGCCAAAGGAATAAAGATGCTGCAATGATGTTATCTATGGCCATTGTGGATTTTTCACAAGAAGCTTAATAAACTAAAAACTTCTGTGTGTCTGGTTGTTTGAGAAAACAAAACAAAAACAACAAAATAAACTACCCACAGTCAGCTTACATGTAACCTATTACTATAAATCAGCTATAAAAACTAAGCTACAATCATTACTTAATCCTAAAAGAAGGAGAAAGAGACAAAACTCAAATACAATCTTTTATAGATAAAAGCATATTATGTATCACCCCTTTGGTTAAACCTTTTTTTAATGGATCCAGCAAATTTCCCCTCATAGGCTAAATTTCTTTAAGCTTTTCTGGACAAATTCCCTGCATTCAACAGAATAAGTTCCAATGTTTAGTCAGAAAAGAGACTCTGGAGCATTAAGATAATTATACAATTTCAGCTTCTAAGTATATATATTTTTAAAATTAATAACATAGTGTACTTCCTAACTTAGAAGAAAATTTAAATTACAAAGAATCTGACATTTTGAAATTTCTAAACCCAAAAGCCATTAAAAAACAGCCTATGAGCCAAGCAGCTTCACTAAATGCTTCACAATACATTTCACAGTATAATATTTCCACAATATGAAAGTTTCTGGCTATTGTGCAATTTCAAATTCATGTCCATTTTCACTCCACTGTTTGTTTGTTTTTTTTTAAACATAGACTAAAGCATGTTGATTCTAACACAAATCATAAAAGAGATTACGAGGAAAGTTCAAAGTAACCTCAAGCATGATGACTTCATGTTCAAAAGATCTTTCTCATTTAAATGTTATTATCCAACATTTAAATCTCTGCCTCTGTGTGACTCACATGCCTCAGACCGGAAGTTCAGCCCAATCAGCTCTCCAAACTGATTGGTGGGGGAAGTACATACTTCATTGTCTTAAACTCAGAGTGACTGGCATTCCCTTTAACTGGCCAGTGTGTCTAAATATGGAAAAACTTCATGAGAAACTGAAACAGGCAAAGAGGAAAAAAAATTACTGGCACCAGTCCTTCACTATGAATCGAGAAAAAATTCATAAAGTCTCCAAAAGAATTCTTTAGGTGTCTATTTGATTCGTAGGAATTCCAACGCCTGTGATTTTCAGTTCTATAGGCATCAAAGTTTTCTTCTAAGCATGTATGGGTAATGGAAGAGCTAGAATATCTTTCATGACAATAGCCTCTAATCAAACCCAGTGTTCATCCCCGAGAGATGACCTGTGCACTTCACTCCATCCATCACAGGAAACTAAATATACCACCAGGGCAAGACAGAGTGAAAAACTGCCATTGGAGCTGTTTATTTACAACCTTGCTCTGATCTAAAACTTTCTTTGGGACAGAGTCTTGCTCTGTCACCCAGGCTGGAGTGCAGTGGCACGATCTCCGCTCACTGCAACCTCCGCCTCCCAGGTTCAAGCGACTCTTCTGCCTCAGCTTCCCAAGTAGCTGGGATTTACAAGTACACACCACCATGCCCAGCTACTTTTTGTATTTTTAGTAGAGATGGGGTTTCACCATGTTAGCCAAGTTGGTCTTGAACTCCTGTCCTCAGGTGATCCGCCTGCCTCAGCCTCCCAACGTGCTGGGATTACAGGTGTAAGCCACCGAGTCCGGCCTGCTCTAAAACTTTCTATGGGGCAACCTCTCAGACCCGAGTTCTATGTACAACATGTTTCAGCCTTTGCAAATACGATAGATGCACTGACTTACTTGCTAACGAACCTGAGGAATGACGCCTTAATTTTAATTACAGGATATTTTAATAATGTTTGGTAAAGCTGATACAGAATCAGGTTTGATTACCGTCATGACTCAGAGGCTTTATAATTTGACATATTTTCTCTGGATAACTTTAGATTTTTTTTTCTGGTTATTTTGGTACTGGGTTGCAGTACCCAGGTGGCACCTAGTCTTAGGGCTGTGAGGATCCCCCCACCGCCTGAGCTCAGTCACTATTAGCAGTTTCACCAGAGAAAGAAAGTGGAGAAGTCCAGGTTACGTGAGTTTCCCTGAGAAACACAACTTATTTTAATGTCAAACCTGTTAAATTAAGTTATGGTCCATTTAAGAGAAGGCAGATCAGATGACTAAAAATAACTGTTGATTACATTTTGAAGAATGAAAGTAGCTATATCGTTTTACAACATGAGCCCCTGGAAAATTAAAATGAAACTATGTTAATTTCCTTTGGCTTTAAATGGTGCATCTTCTTGTACAGTTGGACACTGGACTCCTCTGGAGCCTTCTTAAGTGTGAGAGCTGACTTTTCTGTGTTTATTCAGGTTTCGAGAACTGCTATTTATTACTCTGCTACTGCTCGTGTTTTCATTCCAGAGGAGTGTGATTGTTAATTTGTTATTGCGAGTTCCTTAAGGAGTCAAAACATCCAAAGAAAAGCATGAACTACACACAGCAATAAAAGCTAGAAAATGTCTCAACAACATGGAAATGACTCATTGCTAAAGACATGGGGGATTAAGAAACACTCTCCCATTCAATTCAGGGTAAATTTGTTCAGATGAAACAAACAAGAAAAAGAGCTAAATCCAGTTTTTGAATCAGAAACCGAATTCAGAAGAACGTCTTGGTTGAAATGCCCTGTGAAAATAGGTTTAAAGTATTTCTCTCCCTTCCTCTCATCAGTAAGGTCAATAATCACTTGCACTCATTGTGTATATTTGGCCCAGCAACTACTCGCACATTCTCGCCTTCAACAATATTTATGCCCAGATAAGGGAAAGAATCATCCGTTCACAAGTCGACTATGTTTATTCCAACACTTTCCTGCACCATTTTAAAAGAAGAGAGAAAAAAGCATCAAAGAAAGCCTAAGTATTCCTAAGGAAAAAAACTCAATACATACAGACCTTTTTAATCAATTCCGATCCAGGTACTCAAGGACCAAGTGCACGTGAGCAGGAACGACTGGTAAATATTTGCTAAATAAAGGCAGCTGGTATTTCTCTGCCTGCTTTGCCCCTAGCCCTCTGAATCCTCCTCCCCACAATACCCCCATAATTTTCCTTTTGGCCATAGTATAGAACTCAATCACTGTATTAAGATGAAGCCCTAGAAAATAGCTTCTTATACTCTGCGAACTATAAGAGGGAGGGGTTCCCAGTTCTGCCCACTAATATTAAGAGATTTTAATATGTATAATATCTTACTGTCACTGCTAAACTAAAACACTAAGCCAGAACTCCTCTTTGTGGATGATGCCAATTACCATTTTGAAATGCAAATTACTAAGACCTCTTACACCCGATTACGTAGATTATGTATGGCATAGAATAATTTCTTGACTGGGCATGTTGGCTCACACCTGTAGTCCCAGTACTTTGGGAGGCCGAGGTGGGTGGATTGCTTGAGGTCAGGAGTTCGAGATCAGCCTGGCCAACATGGTAAAACCCCGTCCCTACTAAAAATACAATAAATAGCTGGGCGTGGTGGCAGGTGCCTGTAATCCTGGCTACTCAGAAGGCCGAGGCAGGAGAATTGCTTGAACCTGAGAGGCGGAGGTTGCAGTGAGCTGAGATCGCTCCATTGCACTCCAGCCTAGGCAACAAGAGGGAAACTCCCATCTCAGGAAAAAAAAAAAAAAAAAAAAAAAAAAGAATAATTTCTTAACAGGTGGATTGCTCAAGAGTTCAAGCCAAATGGAGTATAATTAGACACTGAATATACTACTTTCTCAGTCTGAGTCAGTATGACAAATATTACAAAAGCTATTTTTTTTCCAGAAAATCATTACAGTTTGAAACAGATAGTGACTTACTACCAAAAGCCTTTTCAATTGTGAAGTGCATGCTCTGGTGTTATTAAATATACAAAGGTGGTTACAAACATAAATAAGTAACCAAGACTGTTTTCTCTTTCTCTCCTCTAGTAAATTATGTTAATTAAGCAAATTAAGATGAGTAAGTTCAAAATAGTTTATAATTGTTTAAAACTTTCAAGTATCAGTAAAACCACAAAGCAAATAGATGTATTTAAAATAATTTAAAAATAACTTAATTTTGGGTCTATATATAACTATTCGGTAAGAGAAAAAATGAAAACAGAAATAATTCCAAAGTGAGGTTCGATGCTAAAAATTTGAACATCCATCTCTATCAATTATCTCAACACACAAAAAAAGTTACTACATACTCAGTAACTGGGTTCAGACAAGACATCTAATATGAATAAGAAAACAAGTTCAAATTACAAAGTTTTAAGGAGAAATATAGTTTAAACTCTCTTAAGTACTTACAAAAAACTTCAAAATGATCATTGAATTACTTAATGAATAGACTACGAGAGCTTATATAATACTGTGATACATGATTTTATATATATATAATCATATAATACATGTGGCTAAAAACAAATTTCCTTTGTTATTTACTCTTAACTGTTATTAGTCTGTGACATATTCTTTTTTAGCAAAAAAACACTTTTTCTAGGAAAATTACTAATATAAATATTAATTCAATGTGCACACGAATTCAGACTATAAAAGGATCAAAATTAACAAAACTTCTGTCCACTGAAGGTGAAAATTCATCAGAGACCATTTCCTTCATTCACCAAGCAGAGATGCCAGTGGGCACAAAAACAATTTAAGCCATAACTGAGCAACTTGAGACTACACATTCATTCACTCACTCGACACGTATTTATATAAGGGCAAATGTGGAGGTCACTTGGTCCAGACCCACATTTTGTATGAGGAGCCTCTGAGGATGACAGAGCGCAAATGCCTGGAGCATGCTCAGTTTATCCCAGAGAAAGGGCTGGAGAGGAGAGCAGGCCCTTTCCCTCCCTGCTCCTTGCCCTTTCTGCCAGACTACCCTGGATGCTGAGAGGAGGCAAAGCCCTCCAGTCGCATGGAGTCTGACCGGGACACAAGACATCTAAGCCACAAAATGAAGCAATCAATGGCAGGATCAAATAAGCTGTGCACACAGGG